AAAAAAAAAAAGGAAACGTCAGGAAAACTGACTTGGGGTGGGTGGGTGAGGGTGTGACATGAGGTGAAGGGAAAAAGAAGTTAAGGAATAGCTACAGGTTTCTTGCTAGGTGACTTTGTGGTTGCTGAGGCCATTGACTAGTCTAAGGAATACTAGAGATGGAACACGTTTAAAGGAAGGATGGGGAATGCTGTACAAAAACAGTTAAGTCCGTGTCTAAAAATGTGTTTCTGTCCCCCCTCCCCCTTATAGTTCCTAAGAGATGTGACTGAACTGCAGATCCTTGGTGAAATTTCTTTTGACAAATCTCTATATGAGGGGCTGAATGCAGAGAACCACAGAACTAAGGTAATCCCTGTCTGTTTTCTGGGTAGTGTCCTAGGAAAACTGCTTAGCCTTAGAGCCCCTGTCCAGGCACTCTGCTGTTGTCCTGTTCCTGTTTTCAGTCTTATCACCTCTGATCTTCACTCTGCCACCAACTGCCTCAGTGACCTTGAGCTAGTCAGCTTCTGCCTCAGTTTTTCCATCTGTGAAATGAGGCAATTAAATGAGGCCTAAGCTGAGGAAGTCTAAGCTGAAATAACTAGGCTGCAACCAACAGCTACATATACTTTGATTTGAAAAAGTATTTAAAAAAATTCCAAAGTGAGAAATTACTGTTTGTATGCGTTAATTCTTTCTAGTATATAGTATCAGAGTTTAGGTACAGCACCAATCAGTTACAATACTCAGGAGTGCATACTCCTTTGACAAGTTTTAGACTAAGTGCTAGAACTCCTGGGATTTGTTTTTGCAGAAGTATCACCACAGGTCACATGGACGTCTGCCATCTATGGGCCAAATGCTGTGTGCTCCCCTGAGTTGTCATTCTTGTTGACACTTACCGAGATGTGCTGCTGGCTTCAGAGATGATCCATCTGTGAGCTCTTTGGTTAGGCATGATTCATGATGGGAAGGAATGTTAAGAGAGTGAGACTAGATTGCTAAATATTAGATCCTCTGATTTTCTTTCTGGAGTAGGAGGAGAAAGGAACAGTTCTCTGGACATGTCAGGAATAACATTTCCCTTTATTTTTAGGCATTTCCAATACAGAAAATGATATGGAAGAAAAAGAAGTGCCCCATTATCCCACTGCCCAGATTTTTTAAAAAATCAGATAAGGCTTTAGAAGAAAATCCAAGCCTTACAGAAAGATACCAGATGAAAAACAATGGTTTCTTCACTCCCCCCTTCCCACACCCCAAGTCCCTCTTCGCAAAGGGAGTTATTATTAACAGTTTCTTACATGCATGTTCTTAAATTATTTATTTATATACTTATCTCTCTTAATGACATTTTTATTTCTACAGTGTAGATTCCTTATAATTATTTTTTAAAAATTCAGTACCCTAAGCAAAGTATTAAGTAGTTCCTGACAATGAGCACCTGACTTACAGTGAATCTATGAGTATGAATAGCTGTATATCCACATGCATTTCAGCTGCAAGTAAGGGAAGTCTCCTGCGTATGCACCATAAAGGCATCTGTTTATCTAGTCAGGGAAGCAGACCAGGGCCAGTGGCCTGGCTCCTTTGAATCTTGTGCACATGGTCCGTGTGCTGATGATGCCTTCCCTGGTGGCCAGCATAAAGTTTCCACCTTTTCCTGTGCTTTATTTTCACATGGCAGAATACAGAGTAGGAAGCAGGAAGTCAGAAGCAAAAAGGACTTTTCTTCATGTGCCTTCCCTTTTTAGGGAGGGAAATTGTCCTAAAAACTCCCAGCACATGTCTATCTCCCTTACGCCATTAGTGAGAACTGGATCTCAAGTCAGTCATCAGCAAAGGGGACAACCAAGCTTTGTCATGGTTAGCGTAGACCATCGTGATCTCTGAACAGAATCTAAAATGAGAGTGGCTGTTGAGTGGGCCCCCATCAGTGTTGGCTACAAGCAGTGGTGCCCTGTGTCCTGCTTCTCCCTTTACCTCCACCAGGGCAGCTTCTGGGCACTTTGGAAACCTGTGGGTTTGGAAGAGGGAAAGGGAAGAGACTTTGAGAAATAGGAGCATTTCTTCTACTCAAATCTGGCCTGTTAAACCACTGTCACCTTGGGACTTCCTTTCATCACTTTCCTAAACCCAGGTTCTCACGCCCTTTTTTTCCCTCTACCTGGTTTCCATAGAAGAAAAAACCAGTTCTCTTCCAGTTCTTCCTCCCTCTCTGTTGCTTTGCTCCTTCCTACTCTCAAGGCCTAGAACTTAATCCTCTTAAATTCAGCTATGTAAATAGTGCCTAGAGGGGCAATCCTAAAATGTAACCAGCATTTGTAATTTAATTAGAAGAGGCTTTAAAGATACATTTGTCCAGCCCTCTGCCCCATACAGAACTTCAAAGTATTGCTGACCTTGGTGCTTAAACACTTGTGTGAAAGGAACTCTGTTTTGAGCAGGCAGAGAAGATTTTTTGTTTGTTTGTTTTTATTTATTTATTATTGATTTTAGAGAGAGAGGAAGGAAGAGAGAGAGAAACATTCCTTTGTTGTGTCCCATACGCACCCTGACCAGGGATCGAAGCCTCAACCACAGGACGATGCTTAACCAACTGAGCCACCTGGCTGGGGCCAGGCAGAGTTTGTATGGCCCTTTGGCCCCACTTAAGTCCTGGGACCATGCTCTGGCCATGATGTGTATGTGGGCCACAACTTGGGGCGGTCATGTCTGAGTCTCACTTGGGAAGCACATCGCTTGAGCTTTCCATCTGATCCCTGTTAGAAGACAGCCTAGACTCTGAAATTGAGAGAGCCTTTAGACAACAGTGCTGCGGACGGCTTCTAATGGAAGAGCTCTACAGGTTGTACACACGGATGCTGTTTTGCATTTCTTTTCATGTCTTGGAGGTAACATACACTTTAGTCCGGTGAGGAGCAGACCAGTATCTTTGTCATGAATTTCATGTGGGAAAAAATGTATTATCAGACTTTAGGGATTTGTGGAAGCTCAAAAACAGCTGTCAGGACAGAGCTGGAAGGACTTATAGATCATTTACAATAGGCCATCATTCTGAAGATGATGAGGTTGGAGATCAAGGGCATATAATGGCATAGCTGGTATAGAATCTTAATTTTCTGTCAGTCTTTAAAACTTAAAGACCTTAATCCTGTGGGACCCTCTGTTAAACTGTCAAGAGTCCTTAACAGAAGATCAGACTCTCCTGACAGACTTAGCTCTATTTCTGTATCATCAAAATAGTTTCTATAAAGTGTTTTGGTCATTAGATCATGTTACTGTGCTCTTTCCCCCCAGTTTTTGTTCTGTTTGCTTGTTGAGATTCCTGTTGATTTATCTAGCTCAGTGAGTGTCAAAGGCATTCTTTACTTGTGTTACAGTGTTTTATCTCCAGCACTTCCTTTTGGTTCTTTCTTAAGATTTCCATCTTTCCACTTACATCACCCATCTGTTCTTTGTCTTTGTTCTTGAATGCTGTCTAATTTATCCATCAGAGCCTTTAGCATATTAATCAGAGTTGTTTTAAATCCCCGGTCTGATAATCTAACATCTTTGCCATGTCTGGTTCTAATGCTTGCTCTGTCTCTTCAAATTGTGTTTCTTGCCTTTTGGTATGCCTGGTCATTTTTTTCTTGACAGCTGGACATGATGTATTAGGTAAAAGGAACTGCTGTAAATAGCCCTTTAAAGTGACGTGGTGGTGAGGTGTCGGGGGAGGGGGAAGTGTTCTGTTATCCTATAAGTAGGTCTCAGTCTGTTAGTGGGCCCATGCCTCTGGACTGTGAACCTCACAAGTGTTTCTCAGGTTTTTTCCAACCACCATAGGTGGGACAGGACAGCTGGAGTGGGCTCGAGTATTTTCCTTCCCCCACCCAGGTGAATTAGGCTCTGATAATACCCCAGTAGGTTAGGCTGTGGTTAACTTGTTTCCCTTGAGGAAAGGCCTTGCTAGAACAGAGTGCTCTGCCCCGGCTGGTGTGGCTCAGGTGGTTGGACATTGTCCTGTGTACCAAAAGGTGGCTTGTTCAATTCCGGTCAGGGCACGTGCCCGGGTTGCAGGCTTGATCCCTGGTAGGGGCATGCAGGAGGCAGCTGATCCATGTTCCACTATCACATTGATGTTTCTCTCTCTCTCTCTCCCCTTCCCTGTCTCTCTAAAAATCAATAAACTATTATACATGAATTATATTATTTTTAAAAAGAACAGAGTGCTCTCGTGTATTTCAAAATGGTTCCTTTCCCCCTCCCCCTGCTGGGGAGGGAAGAGATTTCCCCCCAGTATTTACTGTGGGAACCTAGTCAAGCTCCTGGAGGTAAATCTCAGTGTGGTGGGGGCTCCCTTATGACTGGATTCCCTGGAGTTTTTAACTCTTAGAATTGTCCACGCTGAGCCTCCAGCAATTCATCAGTTACAGTTCAGGTTTCCTACCCCAGCACTGTGAGCCTCTGTTCATATTTTGCTCCTTAAAGTAACGTGTGGCATTTTTTTCTCATTTGCTTTACCTGACTTATTAGATGACCTCTTTGTCTTGTTCTAGATCACTGTCATCTTCCTGAGAGAGGAGGACCTGCCTTTGCCTCTCATCATTGGAAGCAGTGTTGCTGGCCTTCTGGTTTTGGTTGTGATTATAATCATCCTATTCAAGGTCAGTTCTGTCATGTTCACAGAGGCTCTGGGGTTGGGCACAGTGTTNTTCAAGGTCAGTTCTGTCATGTTCACAGAGGCTCTGGGGTTGGGCACAGTGCTGCTGGGAACAGCTAGCCCCGGACTTAGAACATCTGCCCTGGCCATGGGGCCACTTTACCCTCTTCTTCAACCGCACGTCTATTTAGGCAAGTGAGTAAGACCGTTTCTGCCTGAGAAAGATAAAAATCTAGTGGAAGTACTGGAGTACGGAGAGATCGTCCTGAAACAGATTTGGTGGTTGTTTCCCTGCTTAAATCCTTTCCTTTCCTTCCCCTCTTTGAAGGTTCAAACTCTTTTTCTGCCGTTCAAGACTCTCCACTGCCTGGCCTCTACCCATTTGCCCTTAAGTCTTGCTTTTTTCTCCAGAGGTTGAACTAAATAGGTCTGCGTCCTACTGCTTGCAGTCAGGCTATCTACACACACACACACACCCCCCCCCACCAGGCTCTTCCCCACTTTTTCACCTTGCTCACCTCTCCTCTTAAAACTCAGCCTAGAGAGTCCTGAGTCCTCTGAGCTGAGTGTATGCTTTTCTGTGAGCTCCCTTCTGGAAACCCTTCCAAGTGGCACTGCTTGGTAATTATTTCTCTTTCTGCTGGACTGTGAGTTTCTTGATGTAGGAGACTGTACTTGATCTTCTGGCCTCAGTAGGCCAAGTACTTTTATATAAATAAGATCCAGTACAGCCAAAACTAAAATACTTTGCTCAGTTAGTTAAGTTAAAAAGGTTAAAGAGCTCTCGGGGTTCAGAGAAATGTCAAAAATCACTTCTCACTGTGGAATGAGCACCAGGAAAGGCTTGTGGAAAAGGCAGTATTTAGGACGGGTCTTAAAAGATTGTATTATCTGGGGGAAACTCAGAGGAAGCGTGAGAGGCTCAGGAGTATAAGGGCTCTTTTGGCAACAACCACATAAATGGTTTTCTAAGACAGATGGATATCTTCGGTCTGTAATTGGGCTTCCCTTCCCTTTGTTTTAGTGTGGCTTTTTTAAAAGAAAATACCGAGAACTGAACTTGGACAGCATAAGGAAGGCCCAGCTGAAATCAGAGAACCTGCTCATGGAAAGTGAGGACCAGCTCGCTCATCCTTTGGGGGAGAGTATCAGCAAGTCCTCCAACTCCTAGAGACTTGGTCTCATATTGGTGACTTGTTCCTTTAGGATGATCCAGGGCAGAATCTAAGAAATTGTCTGTAGAATATTGTTTTTTAATAATACATTGTTCTAAAAGTGTCTGTGCATTGTGCAAAAAATAAACTTGGGAAAGATTTGATATTAAATAGTATTAAACTGTTTTCTTTACAGAAGTGCCTTTAATATGTACATATACTATACTTCATGATTTTTCCCCCCCCTCCCAAGAGATTATATAGTGTTTTTCAACCTTGCTTGTCTAAGAATTCTTTTTCTTAGCATTTCTATTAATGTCTCCCAAAATAGTGTGCTATGAAGTTTATCTTGCAGGGACAGTAGTTGAAAGCGATTCCTAGTCTGGTATTTCAAGATCCTCAGCTCTTGCCTATTATTTTATATCAGGCCACAGAAAAGCACCCTAGGACAAATATAAAAAATACAAAACCAAAAGTCATCAAAACTGGAACTAGGAAGGAGAGGAGAAGACAAGACCAAGACTTTGTTCTGTAGCTTCATTTCTATTGTGTGTATGAACATGTCTACTGACTAACACTGTGCCAGTCCTTTACCTGGCTCCCTGCTTAGTGAATTGCTCAGAGACACTTTCCTTCCCTAGTGAACAGTGGCACCAGAAGAGAGCACTGGTCCGCAGGGTGTGGAAGCTGGCCTGGGAGCGGGCAGGGGAGGCATACAGGGGTCAGGGCCTGGTTATAGACTGGCCGTGCTCTTAGTATCTTATTTTTTATTTTTATTTTTTAAATATATCTTTATTGATTTCAGAGAGAGGAAAGGAGAGGGAGAGAGAGAGAGAGAAACATCAATGATGAGAGAGTCATTGATCGGCTGCAGCCCGCAACCTGGGCATGTGCCCTGACCAGGAATCGAACCCTGATCTCCTGGATCCTAGGTCGAAGCTTAACCGCTGAGCCACGCCCGGCCGGGCAGTATCTTATTTTTATGGTCCATGCTGTTAGGGCTTGACCACATCTTATGGATTATAAAAGTTATTGCAAAAACTTAAATGATGCTGCAGTATATAATGTAGAAAGTAATGCTTGTGATCCCTCAGTTGTCTTTGTCTAATTGAGATGCTTTCATTATTATTTCTTTTCAATTTTATTTTTTTCTGAAATTTATGAGTTTCTAAGGTGTGAATTAAGGATTTAACCTGAGCGGGTTTTTTTCCAGAAGCATAAGTGATTCACAGCATCACTTATTAAAATACCTAACCACTTCCTGTGCTTACTCACGCTCTGCCCAAGTCAGGGGGCCTGGAAGGCTGTAAAGATCTGAACTTCCCAGCAGTGGGTTTCTAGCCTAGGCCTCCCAGTGAGAGTAGGAGGTGGGCAGATGGGAGAAGTCTTTCCCCTCGTTCTGCGAGCAGTGCCAGCGGCAGAGGAGTGCAGGTGCCTGAGCAGCAGCGTGACAGCGTGGGCTCCTGTGGAGGTGGCTTCCTGCAACTCCTGACCTCTGGGTGACACCAGCTCTGCTATTTTTATTTTTCCGCCCTTTCAATAAACTCGAAACTTAGGTCTCTGAATAAATCTCTCTCTTCTTGAAATATCTAGAGTGGTTTCTGTTTTCTTGAAAACCTTGAGTCTACCTGTTATTTCCAAATGAACAGCAAGTTGTCTCTATCATTTATTGAAAATGCTCACTGATGATTTGAGATTCTGCTGTTATCATTTATGAAATCCCTATATATGTACATATATGAATTCTGGAAATTTAGTTTTGTTTCATGGATCCCTTTATTCCTGTATCAGTACCACTATTGAAGGATCACATTTTTTCATAATTATGCAAGTAATAAATTCAAAACAGCACAAAGTTATCTAAAAAATAAAAAGTTCTGCCCTGGCCCATGTGGCTCAGTGGTTAGCACGTCGGCCTGCACACTGAAGGGTAATGGGTTTGATTTCCAGTCAAGGGCACATACGTGGGTTGCAGGTTTGATCCCTGGCCCCATTCGGGGCACATGTGGGAGGCAAGCAGTTGATGTGTCTCTCTCACATCTATGTTTCTCTCTCTCTCCACCCCCCCCCATTTCTCCCTCACTTCCACTCTCTAAAAATCGATGGAAAAATATCCTTGGGTGAGGAGTAACAGAAAATAAATAACTAAAAAATGAAAAGTTCCCCTTTCCTCTCCCATTTCTAATCTCTTTTCCCAAAAGCAACCACTGTTAATAGTTATTCAGATACTCTTTTAAAATAATTCTATGCATATATCAGCATAAACTTTTTAAATGTATCAGTGAGATTAGATTGTTTATAGTGTTCTGCCCCTTGTTTTTTCATCTAATGACTTAGTCATTTTTATTTTTATTTATTTATTTAACCCTCACCTGAGGATATTTTTCCCATTGCTTTTCAGAGAGAGAGGGGGAGAGAGAGAAACATCGATGTGAGAGACACATTGATTAGCCGCCTCCTGCACGGGACCATGCTCAACCAACGGAGCCACACCACCAAGCCGAATGCTGCTTTTTGTTTTTGTTTTTTAAAAAGCTTTTCAGTTGATTCTCTTGGATTTTCTAAAGAGAAAATCCAGTCTGCAAGTAATGGTAACTTGGAGTCTTTCACCCTTGTGTGTGATCACTTCAGGAAGAGTTGTCCTAAGCTTTCAGGAGGTAGCTGGATGCACCTAAGTGGACAATTTGCTACTTCAGTTGACTGTTTGTTTTTTAAATCCTCACCTGAGGACCTGCCTAGAGAGGGGGGAAGGGGAGAGAGGGTGCAGGGAGAGAGAAACATCGATTGGCTGCCTTCCTAGGCCCCCGACCAGAGATTGGTGCACAGCACAGCACTCTGAGCAACTCTGGCTGGGTTGGTTTGACCTTAATTGATCAGTGGAAAGATATTTTGAGAAGCTCATAAGTATATATGTAGATATACTCTGAAAGTGAAACCAGAGCAAACGTGAAGTTGTTTGTCACAGCCTTGCCCCATCCTAAGAAGCTGAGGAGAAGCAGTTTTGCATGAAACTTTCCAGGCCATGTCCTGTGCATTTGCAAATAGTGCTCACCTATATACATATACAATACATAGGGTTTTTTTCTTTCACATAAAGAGGATCATATATTCTACCATTTGTGACTATATGCAAGGAGTGATGCCAGAAAAAATGCTGCTGCTAAAGGGAGGGTGGGCGTGGGGATAGGGAGAGGTGGTACCTGGGGTTAACATGTCTATGGGGAATTAACAAATCTGTCTAGCTCCTTGCAATTTGTAAAGAAGCACTTTCAGCTTTTTCCAAAAATGGACTGAAAGATATTTTTGTAGTCTCCACGCAGCGCCAAATAGCTTTCCGGAAGGATCGAACCATGGAAGATGGGTATCAGCCATAAGAACATGTCCTGAGATCTCCATTTTCACTTCGCTTGTTTGCTTAATGGGTATATAATTGTAGCTCTAGTTATCTCTGTTGGCAAGACCGTGTATTTTCCTATGAAATAAGGTGAGTTTTTTTGCTAGAGACTTTTTCTCTTTTGTCCAGTTAAAATGTGGCCCCGGTATTTTCTCATTAGCTCTTCCTGAACTGTGCCATCTGGGTTAGAAGAGGTGCGTTTCTCCTGAACTTCAGAGCCTCTGGGCAAGTAAGGGATTTGATGAAGTAGAATTGGAGAGCAGTGTGCCCTCCAGGATGGGGGGTCCTGGCAGATTTGCTGGTGGGTGTTAGGAAGCAGCAGGTGTGGTTTCTGGGGGTGAGTCCTCTTCTGTGCAGGGCCTGGAAAGAGGGCCTGGACTAGCCCTGCCCAGAGCTCTGGCAGATGTTCTCAGGCTCTGGTCCTACCCTGGGGTAATCTTTCCTTTTTAAAGCTGTGAGGTCTGAGATTAGGTTGGAATGCTGGAGTGGGAAGAAACCCTGGCCCACGTTGGTTCCCCAAACCTTTTAGATTTCCTAGTCTAGGGCAAGGCTACTGGCCTAATTCCTGGAACTTACACTGGGTCTTGGGGTGCTTTGCATCCTAGATGAAGAACTCACCGGTGAGTTGGCTGGCTTGTTAAGGACTCTAAGTCAGGGATTTCTAACTCTTGCGTGTGCCATAGGCCCCTTTGGGGGTCTGGTGAAGTCTATGGACCCCTTTTCATTATTTTCCAACATTGTATTATAAAAAGGTCCAAATATACAGGAAAATTAACAGTTTACTATGTTTGTTTTATCACATATTCTCCCACCTATTCATCATCAGCTTGTTTTTAAACACATAGAAGTTTACCAAGAGCCAATTATGTTGAACACAATGATCAGAATATTTTAAAATTATGATACGGAGATACATGTGCTTCTTTATTAATGCATTAGCAGCAGTTCTGATAACTGCTATTTTGAAAGCAGTGATGCCCTTAAAATGTATTTTGAGGTAGTTACCTGTAAGGTGATGGCAGAATATCTGTAATTTCTATTGATGTTACATAAAGGTTGCCAATACTATGATGGTTTGTTGCCTACACTTGTAATTGAAGGAAGTGCTAAATTTCAGTGAAAGGGCAGTAAAACTAAATAAATAATGTTTTTTTCCATCCACCTTCTCAGACTTCCTTCTCTACATACTCTGGCCCATTTAATAAAAGCCCGTGTCCTGTCCTGTCCCTGGCTTTGTACTTTTGCAGCTGATCTTGATCACTCTGGGCAGTATTAGCTGTGCTTTATGGAGAAGGAAACCACTTGCCCAAGGCCACAGGGCTGGTATAAGGTAGATCCATTTTCCAGTAGCAGGTTTTTGGATCTCCAAGTCTAATAATTTTTCCACAAAAGCTTCGTCACACCCTGGTCAAGGCAGAGCTGACAGCGGTGGAGTGGTGGTGGTTTTCAGACTTTGTGGGCCAAAGACAGGGGTTGCTGAGCTCTTAGGTTCCTTGGCCCCTAAAGACATGGATGCTCAGGCCTGGTTNGGTGGTGGTTTTCAGACTTTGTGGGCCAAAGACAGGGGTTGCTGAGCTCTTAGGTTCCTTGGCCCCTAAAGACACGGATGCTCAGGCCTGGTCTGGGCCTGGGAATCTGCTTTTTTGGCAAGCACGCCAGGTGACTGATGCACAGCCACACCCTGTGAGATACTAGCTATGGGATCAGGGTTTGTTCATCTGATTACACTTGGAGTCTGGATGACTAAGAAGTTGCTTCAGGTGACAGATTGAACTTA